TTTTTTGGGGCATTTGGGGAGGTGTACAAATGTTTATATCAGGATTACAAATGTGTACAAATGAAATAACAATTGTTGGTATATTTTTTTTTTAAAATTTTGAATATGGTGGTGCTAATGTAACGGACCTGTGTGAACGGGACGCGGATGAGAACAAAAAAGAACCGTAGTCAACTTTAGAACGGATAATAGATTTATATACTAATAATAGTGAAGATGGGTGCGCGCCCCACCAAGTGCCTGCTAATGCTCTGAGCAAATTGGACCATTTAGAAATTATGCATTTGAGATGGTTGAAATGCGGGACCCATCTGAGCTTTGGGTCAAGAATGAGCCCAAGGTATGTGATTGTATTGGATGGGACTATGGACTTATTGTTGATGTAAACGGGAGGAAAATCAACGTAACGTTTTCTAGTGAAGATCATGAATTGACTTTTGTCAGGAGCGACTTCAAAAAATGCAGATGACAGTTTGTTGTTTAGTGAACTCAATGCAGAATTTAAGCGGAAAATGGCACGATCGAGAGATTTGTTAACTGAGAAAACGACAATGTCGTCAGCATAGAATAGACATGAGTAATAGTGGGATAGTAAACTTTTACTTATGGGGAACATATAAACATTAAATATAATAGGACTGAGACAACTTCCTTGCGGCAGTCCTCTATATGATGAGCGAATGCATTCTGAACCAGATGGAGATGTGAAATGTAAAGAACGAACATGAAATAAGTTATATATATAATTGTAAAAGACGTCGGGAACATTAAGATCCTGGAGACGACGTATAAGAGTTGGAATATGGACGGAATCGTATGCACCTTTCACATCAACAAAAGCAGCCCTGAGAAACTCACGATTGCAAAAAGTATCATAGATAGGACTGACAAGGTTAGTAAGACACTCCATGGTGCCGAGACCACGTCGAAAACCAAATAGGTTATCTGGAATTAGACGGTGAGCCTCGAGATACCAATCTAATCGATTTTTTAACATAAATTCTATAAGTTTGCAACAAGCCGACGATAATGCGATTGGGCGGTACGCTGGAGGTTTAGCAGCAGGTTTAGGTATGGGGATCACCCTAAATTGTCTCCATGACTCAGGTACAATATTATTTAACCAAAGGTCATTAAGTACTTTTAATAGTATATCGAATGCTTTGATTGGAAGATGTTTAAACAGAAGTTATTTGTAATTTAAGAATTAATGTTATTTATTATAAAACGCGAAAGAAAGAAAAAATGCACACGGCTATACTTATCTAATCTTTATGTAAACACATTTTTTGAATGCTCAAGACGTTCGTGTTACAGTAAAATTATATAAAATTTAAAATATGTCATTCCCTCTGGTTTGTAGAAAAAAAAAATATTTTAATAATGTATCATTTATTAGTTATATATTGTGTATAGTACATATGTTTAGGCGTTTAATCCTGTAGTATCGCACTTAGTTCTTCAGATGTTGTAGCATATCCTTACCGCTTGATTTAAATACGAAACGCAAGGACGGTTCCTACGATGTATTCTGCATGTTAATTGTTAATTATTGATGTCGAGCATCAATAACCGTACGAAACATAATAATCTCTAGACGACAGTGAATAGCGGTTTTATAGAATAATATTGCTACAAAAGTCGAATTAGGGGTACTAATAACGAGCTCGAACGTGCTAAGCACCCACATTAGCCGTTTCACTAAACACGTTAATGTGTACGTGCGATTCATCCAAACATCAAATAAAAGATGATCGAATACGTACGTTGACGTTATACGTTTTAACGACGTAACAAAGCGTTTCCCAAAATATATTTTCTTTCCTAGAAATTTTTCTTCGTTTCAAACGGAATACTTCACGACCATGGTAGAGCATGAGTTTGTTGTATACGAATAAATATGCGATTTGCAGACCGTTGTTCTATTCGAGGAGCAGATCATGTAGACGCGCGGAATACATACGTTATGTTATCGGGTTTAGACGAAAAGTAACACCGGACGACGCCTTGAACGTTTTGATAAAAATCGCGTTATTCATACGCCATTGTTACACGTTATTACCGTTTCGCGTTTCGATCGATGGATTTTATTGCCCTCCAAAGTTCGCCCTTGCGATTCGTCCAATGCTCTTCACGGCGCGTGCGTGCGTACTCGTGTGTATTATACGTTTTTCTTTTCCGTATTTTATTACTGCGGGGTGGTTTTATAATTTATACACGAGCAAAAACCGAACCAACTGTACGCGTAGAGAGAGAGAGAGAGAGAGAGAGAGAGCTCTAATTTAATTTTATAAATGATCTCATACGAACGTTATGCACGCGGCGTATATACCGCGCGGCATCGTTCAGCCCGATGTACGCAGCCCGTAATTATCGGTCGTAAAAATGGCTAGTAAACCGGTAAACGTGTACACAGGACCGTGTGGTTTGCAGACGGTTTTGCCCCCGTACCACGTCCTATGTGCACCCCCCTGGGCACGTCACGCGCTCGAAAACGCGTATAATAATAATAATAACACTGCTCGTTGTGCGGATACACTCGATTTTATATTACTTTTTATCCGCCGTTGTTTATGCGTCCCGACTGCAGTGCATTATATTGCATATCGTTATTACGAACATGCGTTGTGCCTCGCACAAAAAAGGTAACGTCGCGAACATTTTCGCATATTCGTCCTTTCCCCGTCCCTCTCTCCCGACACTCGGTTCCTTCGGCTGACGCTGTTTATTTTATTATTCCGTTGTCATACGCCACATATAATAATATATACTAACATTATACCGCACGTCCGCACGGTTAAACGATCCAGTGGCGTGTATACATGTCCTACAAGTATTTAATCCAACGCCCTTGGGCCTCAACACACATAGTCCATACACGTGTACGCAATTTCACACTTAATGTCATGCACGTACGTATAATACCCTGTGTTATGGTGCATCCACTTCGGTGAGTATGTTTAACGACTAATCCTCGATATTTCGGAAACATATCTTCGAAGTTTGATCCGCTACTTAAACGATCGCATGCGATCAATAGACATCATACAGATGAATCGGAAACTCGTCAAAAATTTAATATTTCTTTCGTCCCATCATTTCATTCCGTCTTGGGCAGATTTTATTGTACGAAATTGTAAAAAATGCGAGGAACAAATCATTCGCAGCCGTATTATTCTTTACAAAAATGAAAAATGAAATTAATAATATTGGCTTGAAATTTAATTATTATAATGTTTTATAATTATAGTAATTTATAATGCGTCATATAACATTGAGAAATAGTCATTTTTCACTCATAAATTATATTAAAATGAATAAAAAAAAAGTTATTCATAGTTGAAAAGTATACAAGAAAAATAACAATTAATATAATAGTGTATTTTAATTAATTTGAACTTTATTTTACAATTGATACACGAAATTAAAAAAAATATATGTATATATATATATATATATATATATATATACATTTAATTTAATTTTTTTCAAATTTAGTAGCAAATGAGAGTTGTAGACAGTTATAGACTTATAATTTTTTAGTATATTTAATTCACTTATTAATCTTTTATTGTGAGCAATATTTTTCCGTCGTATATATTTATAAAAAAAAGGGCAAACAGTTAGAAGCGGATTCAAGATATAGTGTAGGGTATGATATATATATTTTCCGACGGATTTCAAATAAAAAACGACAAATGCTTTTGATAAAAATCAGATGTGTGTGCCTTCGCGTGTAAATATAATATATTCACGATCTAATATGTATTATGTTTGAATTGATCTACAGGAACTCCGATCAGTCGACTCCCGATCATGGCGAAACGAGTGTTAGACTTGTACACTTTGTATAAGCTGGTTGTTCAAAGGGGTGGAATCGTGGCTGTTATAACCAAAAAACTTTGGCAAGAGATAATCCGAGGCTTGGGCCTACCGCCATCCATCACTAGCGCGGCTTTCACACTACGCACGCAGTAAGTATATTGTATTTATAATAATTCGAATTTATAATAAATCCACGACACACAATAAGGAGCCATGTTTTGTTTCATTGTTAATAACACCGATTCGAGTATGTCAAGGGGAATACGTTTTAAAATCGTTTTGCGTTGCACTGAAAATGTCTAATCTAATAATAGTATTATTTGATCATAATGAATCCGTTACATTAATGTGCCGGTATCACATAATATAATGTTTTTCGGATACAATTCTTCAGAACTTCCAATACGCATCGCTAGAGGAAAAAAAATAAATGAGCACTAGAAGGAGAAAAAAAATGAATTTAGCAACATTAGATGTTGACGATTTTGGGGATAATTGGTTGAAAGGGTTAGGGTGATGGTCCTCATCTTACCTTTAGAATTATACCTTGCTCATTGATAGGTATAACTATTAAACAACTGCATGCATATGTTATGAGGGGTGTAATCCTATACGACATATAATGTGGCAGCCGAATGACGCACGGACAATATCGTAACGTAAATATGAAATTTCTACGACTACATCGATTACAGACAAAGGGGACGGGAAATGTCCGAGATCCGAGTGCATAGTATTCAGTAACTTGTAACCAACGATCCGCGGAAAAGATTTAAAATTCTGTTTTTTCTTTCGGTATGACGGTCAAAGTTATACAATTTTCCAAATCTCACGAGAGAAACACGAGGGTGGGAGGTGTGCTAATATTAAAACTGGGGTTACCCGTCTCGAAAAAAAAACTGCACCTGCGCTGAAAGCAACATTACAATCCATTCGTTAACCGCAGATATGTCAAGTACCTGTACGCGTACGAGTCCAAGATGAATCGGTTCAGCTCTGTGGATGAGTTGAACATGGCCATAGCGGGAAACAGGCGCGAGGGCCGGCGGAACAAATCGTTGCTATCCGAATACTTGCCTTCGCTACCGGTCTCCGCCACGGCCGGCCACCACCATCATATGTCGTCAGCCGTAGCGTCACCGGGTTCGCACCAACAGCACCAGCAGCAGCTCCAACAGCAGCAGCAGCAGCAACTTCAACAAAAGCAGCAGCAGCAGCAGCAGCATTACGCCAACGTGCTGGCCGCCGACGATCGGTTCCGTCATTTCGCCGCCGTCATCCTGGACAACAGACAACGCGCGGCCACCGCAGCCGCCGCAGCTGCCGCCGCCGCCGAACAGCAGGTCAGACAACAGCCGCTGCCGTCGTCGTCCTCGTCGTCCCCGCGGCCGGCCAGTCCGCAACGACTCGGACACATTCCGTCACTGGCAGCTGCCGCCGCCGCCGCAGCCGCCACGGACGCGTCGCAGTTCAACGGCCATCTCCCACCGATGCCATATCAGTCGGCCTCGATGATCGCTGCTCATCAAGCGGCCGCCGTGGCCGGCGACCATTCCAATAAACAGAGAGGTAACTTAGGTTAAATTAGGGGTTGGGGGTTAACGTTATTTATTAATTTATTATATATATATATAAATATGGTTTTTATTAATACCAGTCACCAAGTTAACAGTTGGGGGGAGGTGGTTATCACGTTTTCAAGACCGATATCGTATTTGGAAACCACAAATGCGCATGATAAAACAGATCGCTGAATCGTGACAAAGCCACTTCGACTGCAAAATACCGGAAGCCCGTCGCTTTAGCATCGTGTTTACCATTTGGTAACTGCCCGTGGCCTCCGGTTTTAGGATTTTTTTTTAGAATACAAATTTGTTGGTATAAAATGAATATAAAGAAAATATAATGGGTAAAAATTAAAAAAATAAGCGTGAAATGCTACATTTTTTTATTTTGTCTGATGGCCTAAAAAATTCTAAATCAGGTCTTGCGTCGTCCCTTAAATGTATGGAACCGGTGTATCAACCGGTGCGGTCCAAAAATTGTTGTTAGCATGATAAAACGTGTGTTGACTCACATGTACTTCTGAAATGTACTCAAAAGTTTTTAACTCCATTCAAATTCACAAGTAGACCAAAAGGAGACTTTCGTTGCCAATTAAGTTTACTGTGTATTTTTGTGATACGTGTGTGTGTGCATTATTTGTTGGACAGTTTTTAGCGATACTTAATTATTTTTCCAGAATTATATTTTACTTCGATTTCAACCAACTGTCGAACAATCGATTTCTGAAATGTAGTCGGTTGGAACATGTGTTTCCACATGATCCGGAGGAGAGCAAAGCGAGTCGCATTTATAACCTCTACGTACATTTTTTGATAATTAATATAATATTACTGAATAGAAAACGCGTCTTTTATCTCTTCGCCACGGCCGAAAAATGTATTCAGACCCAAGACACTATAATATAGTATTTTAAAGAACAAAAAAAAAATTAAGAAGAAAACCTTATTGATAAAATGATAATTATGATTTTCTTTGAGATCATACATAGTATTTAAATTGTTCAGATTTCATTAACTATTGTTTTTATACATTATAATTTGGTATAGAAAAAAAAACATTGATTAGCTATATTCATTCGAACATTTTTTGTTGATTAGCGTTTTTTTCTAATATTCCGTTACAAGGTAGATGAAATAGGACATACTATTATTGTTACTTTAAATGGACATAAATTATATGTTAAAAAAAAAACAATTACTACATACTTTCTCTTATTACAATATTGGTACAAATATTATACAAACACACACACACAAAGACGTGAATATATATTTATAAATATAAATTTAATTGTATTAAAATTGTTTTAAAACAACTTATTTTGTATTTTGTTGACTGTAACAATGTATTTATTATAATAATACTTTGAGTATAGTATATATTAGATATTTACTAAGTTAAACTAATTTTTAACTCGTAATATAATACTCAGATAAGATTTGATTTTTTTCATTTATCAATTTACAAGAATAAGGTCAAATATTTTAAAGAACACAGAGTTGGAGTATTGAATTTATTGTAAACTCTTTTCAAATTTATTTTGTCCTTTATAGTATCATTACATATCCAATTTATTTTTTAATTCCGGATGAAAATTATTACACTCTTTAATAGATTTTATACATCTTGACTGCAACAAATGTAAACTATTTACATACTTAAAAGATTCTACTTATATATTTAAAACAAATAATACTTTTATATTTAGATAATTATAAACACAATGTCGATCACGTAGCGTGGCACTTTTATTTTGAACAGTAGGTACTTTAAGAAATTACGCATGGGATAGAACGAGCATTTGTTTTTTCTTGGTGTTTTTTATTTTACTCTCTTTTATAAATTTAGTGACGTTTTTTATTTTATGTTTATATAATACGGAATAGTTATGTGCCAAGAAAAGGATAAGAGGAAAAAATCGGTGAACACACTGACAACTAGCAATCCCCTTGACAGGTGTGTCCGTCTGACGCTGCCCCAAAAATAAAAATGTTCAATTTCATTTCTAGTCTTTAATAATAATTTCACCTTTCCGCTACTTTTAAACGTGTATATATAACGTCTTTGTGTATCTATTTATTCTGTTTTAATGTATTTTTGAAACGTTCCCAAGAATGAGCGGGAGGAAAAAACTATCACGACGTGTTCTAATTTCATTAGGAATATTTTCTTACTCCGTATGTCTGTCCATCTTTCTTTCTCTCTCCGTCTGCTCATTCATCAAGTGCCCTTCATTAGTGAAAGAAAAGCGTAGCTAGCGATATTCAAATATGAGTTATAAAAGTAAAAACACATTGAAATGTTATTAGGAGCCGAGTAGCCAATAATTATATAAACAAATTTTTAAATATTAAGTAACTAATTAGATTTTCAAGTTGGCAACAATAACATTTTAAAATTAACCACGTTAATTAAATTCACTCTTCTACTACGGTTGTATTCGTCATCATAACATTTTTCTGTACAAATAAGTCACTAAATACATTTATTTCTATCGTCCGTACATGGAAATATTACACGGTATACGGTTTTAGAACTTTAGTGTCGCGTTATTCATAAAAGTGTACACCGTAGATGTTCTACAATCAGTTTCCTTAATTCCTTCATTGCGTTCCTAAAATATATTTTTATAAAAATCGTTTTCGATCTTTATTTTATATCGATTAAGCTGATGATGTTTTTACAATTTCATTTTAATCACTTTTGCGCTTCTCGGGTTTTCGTGAAATATCAACAAGAAGATCTTAGTTTTCCGCGTGTTGTTATTACCATTACTGTAATACATACGTGTGTAGCTCTATATAATTTAATTACACGTGACATACACATCGATTAGTTATGATTGTCCGACCGTGCAATTACTATTCATTTTTATGATGCGACTTTCTTATTTCTACTCTGTTACAATGACTATTGGTACACGTGCACACGCGATGTTTGTACGTTTAACTGCGGTACCTTACATGCGTTAACTTTTTCGACACGGTCGGCTATTGGTTTACTTAATAACAGACCGTTTCGTTTCAACTTGTTTATGCGAATGTTCGTATTATGATAGCACCATGAATACAATACACTCTTACGATGCACCTGCGGTATAATAAACGCGAAAGTGCGTCGACAACTGTACAATGTGAGTCGTGACTATTTTCTTCCGTACTATATTGTTGTATTTTAACCAATACGAGAAAAGTACAGTGGACATGTAAAAAGAAAACGCTTTGAACGAAATAAAGAAGTTTATCGGACCTAATTCGAAAAATAATTCAGGAGTCAGCGAGTCAGCTGGGATACCATTACAGAACATTATTTACGCAATAATGCAAACCATTATCGCATTAGAAACCGAAATAAACTGATCTAATTCATTGCGTTTTGTAATGAACAACAACAAAAAAAAAAAGTATTCGGTTTTTTTTGCTGATGACTGCATATGAAATTAAATACAACATTAACGAATTACTTTACCAAAAGGTAAGAGGTTGTTAAACGTAGTCGAGTTAAAGATACACAAATACCTATTATTAACTCAATTAGTCAAAGTAATTCTGCGTGTGGTATAACTCATTTAAGCGCACGTTTGACTATATTATATTTTATAACACACTTTCTAATCGTTCATCTTCTGTTGGTGGAGGTACAAACCTTAAATTATATCTAAACCATAAACGGTCATACAATACAATGAAATTAAAATATACTCATAGAATTCGGGGTTTTTTTTTTAGTTTTCTGTTGTCGTGCGAAATCGAATGTTATATATAAATAAACTCAAGTTTAAATTATCATAACCGATTCGTCTGTGTCATATCGTTTATGTGTGTTACTAGTAAGTTATAACCGTGTTTACGGTGTTTTTCCGTATAATGAAAATCGACCATTATATCATAGATAACATTATTCGTTTATTGGATTACATCATATGACCCGGGGTATTAACAGTGGCCATTATGTCTTATATTCATGTGATATATAATATTATCTACAACATTAATTACCATAAGTTGCATTCGCTCACCTATTTAGTGTTTACTGTGTAATACAATATAATGACATAATGTAGTGCGAGAAAACTGCCTGAATCGCATTGGACCAACGAAATTGCTATTTTAGACGAGTATTCAGCTTATCCGGTATAAAATACAATCATTGAGTAACCAAGATTTCTGAGAAAGAAAAGGGTTAAGAGAAATTATTAATTTAAGGCGGGTAATGTTAAGTCTGGATATTTTTTCCTGGTGGGATTTTGATTTGTGTACATACCATACATGAGGAAAATCCGAAATCAGTCGAACGGTAATCGGGTATAATAACTTCGTATTTCGTCTTTGATTCTTTGACAAAACCGTAGCCAGAGTTGGACAAAAACAAATCAAAATAACGAATAAAAAATAAAAGCAAAAATAATTGATTATTCTAAACAGTTTAACTTGTGAATGAATCGATTACCCTAAATAAATAAATAAAATAAATTGTGAATAATACTCACAATATAATTAAGTTCAATGTGCGAGAAAGTAATATGTCGATGGCCAGTGCTAAAACAGTTACATTAGCCCATTATTAATAACAATAAATTTATGCCTTTTTTATGACCTTGATAGCAGATAATCTATGTATATATTTATAATAACCAAATATATTTGATATATTACTTGGTATACCACTCACTCACTGATACTCGTTACATCTCAAAAAAGATAGATCGTAAGAACTTGCAATTTAACGTAATGGTTTCACTTACTTTCACTTTAGATGTATATTAAAAAAGGATTTTCCAAAATTCAACCCTTCGTATGGCAAAAAGGGGTAAAACGAAAAGTGATATATATGAAAAAAATCGTATAGTCGGAAAAGCTAAAGCCGATTAATTTGAAATTTCATTTTATTTGTTTTATAACCAACAGTTACATCATACTCTTTTTAGGATTAAAAGGCTCAAAATCGAGCCGGATAACTTGTTCAGGTCCAATGATAATAATATATAGGTAATCGTTAAGAAAACAGTTTTGATTGTTTCTATCGTTATTGCGCGGTCAGTGCGATAGACCGCGCGAAGATCGTACACTGTAACCTAGTGATTTTCATCCTAGTTTCTTCATTTTTCGTTCATGTCACCTTAAGCCTCTAGAATAAAACACCGCATTGCCCTAACATCAAAATAATAAATAATCTTAATTGTGTATTTTAGAATAACTCTTGAAATAACAAAAAAAATAAAAATAAAAATAAACGTTGACGATTTAAATTATAAATTTGCAAAAAAAAAAAAGAGAGAGAGTAAAAATAATAATGATTTGTACGAAAACTGATGAGAAATCGGGCCCTGATGGGTTTGACAAAGTTGAGAAAGTCTAGAGCTGATAGTGGAAACACCGAGTCTCATATTGTCTTCTACAGTTGTAGAGCTATAAGACTACATATCTAACGATCCCGGTTAAGTTGATAAGATAATGCAGCGATTTCGCAAACCAAAACACTGCACGTATTTATCGGATCTAAACAATACGAAGGTACAAAAACTTAAAGGTACGCTATTTACACGACAGCTGTGGTAATAATACAATTTTATTGAAATTAATTACTTTTTTAAAATTGTTTTCCTTTTCCCTTGGATATTTCGTGTCACCCCTACACTGCGTCCATGTCACCCCGGTTGAGAACCACTGTCGGTAACCGTTCGCACGAGATCGTGTGCCGCGTGTATGTACGCGGACGTGCGATAAGCGAGCACGTTGCATTCGTCCCGAGCCGTCGACGGTCGGTCTCTTACACGTCGGTCCGACCGTATCCGATTGTGAACGGGCGCGGTTGACCCCTTCGGTCGCGGCCAGGACATTCGTCAATGTTATCAATTTACTTGGACATTGTGTTGTGTGAATGCCACTTTTACTGGGCCCCAACACCGCTTTTCCCGACGGCCCCGCACGGCCGTCCGAATGTACGCATAATATCCGTCTACCACCGGCGGCGTGGCGTGACACTTTTGATACGCGCGCGACGTGCGCACAACACCGCTCTCCCCGTCCGTTATTTGAATAAATCAATTTACACCGTGACATCGTGCGTTCGTTTGAATCCGTAATACAATCTCGTGTAATACGTGCGCCTTTTGATATTTAAATATTCAACATAGATATACATATTATTATTATTACCATTATACATTGTTGGTTTTTCTTTCTTTTACCACCACCACCACCACCACCACCACCACCGACGACGACGACGACGACGTTACTATCGTGTCCCGCCGTTTCCGTCGCCATATATTGTGCTCTGCTGCGCGCGCGCGCGTGTTATAATATACCTGTGTAATTATTATTTCGAGAAAAAAAACTCGTGTTCGTATACGAAAAAGAAGAAAAAAAAAACGTAACAAATTACAGACACTTGTTCACGACTCGCGCGCGCTGTTTTACACCTAAATAAAATACATCATACCATATTCATTACATATATTATACATTAGTCTGCTGGAGACGTCGTCGGATGACTGATTGAATGACTACGAGAAAAAAAAAATGTAATCCGACGAATTCGTCTCGTGTACCATAGTATAATAACACTACACGACGACATTTATACATATTAACGACCTGCGTCTTTTTCGGGGCATTTATACGCGTTTTCAGATTAATTACTGAAATCATCGCGTATAGAATTCATGATAATACCACAACAGCCGCCGTCGTTTTGTTGGTCGCTGCACCAGCAAGGTTTTGTACCAGGAGTTTTCAGGGTTTTGGTTACCGTGCATTACGATAATATGTAAACGCTTTGGATATCGCAATGATTTTATTAATCAATAGAAAAAAAATATAGTTTTCCGTTTTCACCGGACCCCATAAATGAGTGAGGCCCTAAGGCGGGCGCCTACTCCACCTAATAGGTAATGTAGCACTGAGTACAGTACCACACCGGCGTCCTTTCCGAATTCGATCGTTTCTCTGTCGGAATGTAGACGACTAAGACGTCTTGTATCCGGCTCTGCGAATGTTTGGCAACTGAATAGGTTGTTTATAAATAACATTATTTCATTCATTATTTCCAATTATTATATTTAATTATTCATTCACCTTCCTACCGGTGGACGAATCGTATAATAAAATGATCATTAATATAACGTAGTATTTAATTATAATCCGTATAAATGGTACGGGAAATATGAATATATCTCTCATATACGAGTACATCCTATTAGACCAGAACGAAATATAATCTAGTCTATATTGTGAACGAGTTAAATACAAAATTTAATTACTTACTGAAGATTTTATTTTTACTTTCGGTATAATAACGAAAATTTTTTTTTTTCAGAAATCCTTAGCATGTTGATGTGGATGGACTTGGTGAGAGCTAATCAATCGGCAATTTCGAGACATTCAATACCGAGTGAGTGTGAATACTTATTTCAACATTTTGCATACTGAACAATATGAATATAATACAACTGTAAGGAAATAAAAATAAAAGTTCCTAAACATAATTAGATATACGTATATATGTACAATAGACGTTGAGTTGTATTGTTGCTATGGAGGAAGTGACGTGTTCTTATTGACGTAACTTATCCCTTTTACATACACTTCCTTCATTCATTTACGCAATATTTATTATGTATATAAAACAAAAATATACCTACATTGTATATTATAGATGAAAAATGGTTCCCAAACTTTCCATAGTACGACCCGTTTTGAAATTTCTTTTAATTTCGGTAACTTTCAACACACTAATATTTTTAGTTACCTATATCGTTTTGTAAAATATTCCAATATTTTCCTAGCCTATACTATGGTATAAAAATGTAAGTACATTTCGAAACTTGGCACGGCCCACAAAAAGTATAATCGCGATCCACTTTTTTGTCATGACCTACAGATCACGCGGATTATGCGCATGTAGTTTAGTACTAAAAGAGTTTGGTGTTTTATTGTTTTTTTTTTAATTTGTCGTCCGCAGACTTGCAGCCCAACACGTCGCCGTACAACGCTGCTGCGGTCGCGGCCGCGATGAACCTGTCACCGGTCGTGCTGCAGCAAAAAGGACCGATACCGGAACAGTGCGAAGCGTTGAATCTGGGCAAAAAATGCCAAGGGACGAACAACAACAACGCGGGCGAGAATGACGACGAGCCGACCGCGAAACGGATCAAATCAGATTATTCCCCTGGCGGAGCAAGCGCGAAGCTCAGTCGCCCCGCGAGTCCGAAAATAAAGAGCCTAAGCCCGGTGCGCAACTCGATCTCTCCTGGACGCGTTAGCGCCGACGAAAACGAGAACGATGGCGACGACCGCAACAGCAACATGATCGAAATGGAAATTGATGTGTCCGCCGGTAAGAACTTAATAAATATTTATACACTGTTCGATAAATGTAAGTTCGACAATTCGACCCGATTCTGACAAATAAAACTGATGTTTCCATTAGACGTTTCACATTTGATCTCCAAATTATGTAATGGTGTCGTTCGGACAACACTGAAACACATATAAATAACAGGATATATTGTATTGGGGTTTTTTAAACTATAGCCATAGGCGGAGATTCAGTGAAAAATCAGGAGAGGTGGCTCAGATATTTGGTATATACTAAATTTTTCCGTGGGTCCTTACTTGTAATAATCTTTACAATGACCGATATTTTGGGATACTTAACCTTGAAAAAAAATTTTTTGGTGATTACCCTCTCGATGATCTCTACTAATAACGACTATAACTAATAACTCCGGGAAATTAAATAAAAATTAAAGTGAACTTATCCGCAGACCTAATTCGCAGATCACTAGTGTGAATCCAATGATTCGAGTTCAACAAGAAGAAATTAAATATATCGCTGTCCAATTCGAGTAAACCCATTATTAAACAATCACCCTATTATTTATACATAATTTGTATAGATGCGCATTTTCCTGTTATTTATTATAGGAATTGTAAAAAATGTAATTCATATAATTTTGAAAATGATAATATTTTTGTAATTTTAAAACTATAACAACTTTTAATTATAATGGTAATGGATGAAAAGAAAAAATATCTTTGGTTAGCGATAAACCGATGACGTTGTGTTATAGTACGATCAAATTTGACTATTCTCACAAACGATAATTTTACATCGTATGACGTGCAAGGTATATAATATAAACTTGATTGGTTTAACAATAACAAAACAAATTGTATAACAATAAATCGTACTATAACATCTTATACTTTTATTATCTTTAAACTATAATATTGTCATTCAAATATGGAAGATTATAAGAATAAAAACGAATATCTAGAATTTGGTGTTTGCTACGTGACAATGAAGATATTGTAATATTTAAAAGAATGAACAACAGAATATTTAGGTATATTTTTTAAATGCACATTAGAATTTCTCATAAGTTTTATATACGCTTTTGTTTTGACTTGTAATTATTATTTTCTTGAATTAATTAATATTCAAATGTTAATAATAATCGTATGCGTCAATGATTTCGGTTAATGTGTATGCATAAATCCTAATGTAATTAAATTTAAATGGTGTAGAGTTCTGTAGGACTTGTACGTTTTCTTTATAATTCAACAACCTGAAAACGGATGTTATTTACTTACACACACACACATATATTTAAATATGTATATACATTTAAACATACGTTCTATAAATCAAGTTGACAATGACTTAAGAAACGTTTGGTTGAATGAGGAAAAGAGAAATGAGATTTACATTTTTAGCACTACTAAAGTAATAAATTTATTTTTTATGGTATATTTCTATGGATGATTGTCACATAGTAAGTATGAACATTTAACAATGCATCATATCTTGTAAAAAAAAAAAACAAAATTCAAGCGTAAAATCAAATAGTTTAAGTTATACAAATTATTTTTTAATCACTTATTTCTTTATAAAAACAAATTAATATTACACAACGAAGGTATAAATGTATATAAATATTTAAAATGATACGTTTAGCATAAAATGAGAGATTTTAATAAATTTCTGTAATATAAATAAAATGTTTATATTGATATTCAGGTATGTCAAATGGTCTAAATATATGCGTTTGTAAAAGGACAAGAGATGGTATTTACAAGGGTCAACTTGTCAAGGTTGAATCGTCGTTGAATGGAGGTAATTAAACATTTTAATTAAATAAAACTACTTTAAATACATAAATATATAATCAAGAAAACGAATTGTTTACATTTAAGTGAAATTACACAACTTAAATGTATGCAAATGAAAGAACTTTTCGAACTGTCAAGTTAAATCATTACATAATGCTTTTACTATTCTATCATATTTTACATTAAAATTGATCAATTTTATTAATTATAGGACCTAAAAATACTAGTTCCTTTATATTGCGTCTGAACGGCGAACTCTATACTGGATGTCTGCGATTACAGGACAGTATTCTTAATCATGATGATGAAAAGATATGTAGTTAAAACAAGAACTTGATCATATGCAAAACACAACCAACTATAGTTTTATGTGTAAATATAATAAATTAGATTCTAGATAAGAAAATAAGTAGTAGCATATTATAGTAAATTTTTATTTATTACTTATATATTATTTTTATTATAAAATTCGATGGTTTGTAATTTAAATATTTTTATAGATATTTTTAGATTGTATACATTAATTATTATACGTCTCTGTATTTTACAGTTCTAATTTTTTAATCTAAAGATAAATATAAGTTATATATAATTGTTTAAAATAATGAATAAGTCATGTTATTATTTTAAACATTTAATGTAAACTAATAGTATATACATATATATAAAAACTAATAATTTTACTACGAATAAGAGAGACTTCATTTTTTTACGTTATTTTTCAGATTTATTTTAATTACTATAACTATTACTGTATAAAGTGTGTATATTTTGAGTTCAGAAATTAATTTTAAGGCTGTGTATTATTTAGATCTCGTCCTATTGGGAAATAAAATAAACTTGTAAAATACACATGCAATTTCAGGTTTGAATATGGTTCAGTATTATATAGTAATAAATGTAAAAATAATAACTATTTAATAAATTACAATATTTTTTTATCATAATTATTTACTTTTATTGGATTTAATTATCTTTATTTCTTTTTCATGATTTCAAGAAAAAAAATTAATATTTATCTCTCATTCACTTTGTCCTACACATGTATCCTAAACAAAAATCAATGAAATTTTTTGAATATGATAAGTTAAAAATACAAAAGACTTACTCAATATTGCTGCTACAGGTTGTGCAGACTTTTATTAACTATTATTTACCTAACGAAAGAGAATAATTCAATCACGAAATGTTGACGAAAATCAGTGAACTATAACACCTAAAGTAAGTTGTTAATATTTAATTATATCATAATTATAATAACATAAAATTGAATTAATGGTTAAAATCGACGAAGAATTAAAATATAATTTGGATACTTTTATTCTGTGATATTGGGTTTTGATGTAAAATAAAACGGAATGTGAAATAACTATCAAAACTTAATTGTAATCGCTACTTATTAATTATCTTTATTAATAGTCGTGTTTAATTCAATGTCTATGAACTAGAAACTTACCTACTCATAAAGTACTTAAATACTTTATTATATAATTAACAATGGTTATGCAGTAATGTAAGATATTTTTTTCTGACTAAAAGAATGAGCCATTATTTTGAATACTTAAGTAAAGAAAAAAAGCGGTGAAGAACGAATAAAAAACAATATAATATACTGCTTATTATTTTTAAACAAAATGTTTTTTCATTGTTTTGTTATTTTATGTAGTTTCTAGATGAACATTATTTATTTCATGCAATTAATATTTAACTGTTTAAACCTGAATTGTCGAATACTCAAAAATGCGATACTCCATATTAATATTAAAAACTGTTAATCTTATGTAGGTACATATATGTTATTATAGATACAACTGAGTATGGGTAGCTATAGAATCGGTGAGTCATAAAGCATTTGATTTGAGGCACAACTTCGATACTCTTTAGACTGACTATTCCAGTCCAGACAGGACTACATTTAAGGGAGGACAATGGTCATAACCGCTCCGGGCGCCAACATTTCGGGAGTGCCAAATTTTTAAGCAGGTCGAAAACTTGTTCACTGAAATATAACTGTATGTATTATGAATTATTAAAACCTATAAGATTTAAATTGGTTTTCGTTATTATTGTTAACATAATCAATGAACTACTAAAATATGTAAAATAACCACAAAATGAAATAACTTCATATAATATATATACATATAAGTTTGTGTACAAGGTACGTGAGGCCTACGCAATGGATTTCAATTTTTTTTTTTAAATGCCGGACATTATAAATCATAAATATAATATATTTAATATATTTACATAGGTGGCAATAATGTGGTGGGCTTATAAATTTAACGCAAATAGAGCATGCAATAACTGTATGAAAAAAAATCACATATTTTATTTTATTTGCAGTTCATTCGTTACATGCGCACACGAAAGTTTTGTTATACAAAATATTATGAACTAAATGATATTATTCAACGTATGTTTTTTAAAACATTTGAAGTACTCTGCACGACATACTGTTGTACTGTGAAACATGTAAAAGTATTCTAACGTAAAATTAGCATAATTAATTAGCCTGGAAATCTTTTTACGTATAAACATTAAAATAGCTAGTAGGATTTACATAGACATTTTATATTCGTGTCCTATTTTAGTATTGTTAATGACAAATATTTTGGATAATTTTTTTGTTTTTATTTTTTTTTGAAAAACTGTACTTAACGCTAACGTTATTAGTTATACAATTTCAAAGTAAAACAATGTTTAGTTTAGGTAAGTACTAATCAATTAGATCAAAAAAATTCCATAGAAGATCAAACATAATTATGTAACTCACTATACATAAAATATATTATAAATAAATATTATGTGTAACGATCTATAATTGAGTCATTGAGTATACTTTTCATCAATAAATACCTAAATAAAAAAAAAAAAAAAAGTATTCAACAAAAACTATAAATCAGTTATCTGATAAATTTAATAATACAGGTTGGAGAGAAGTACATTATCATGATAGTTATATATTATTTTTGTATGCGAATGTATGAGTTAATATGCAGTTAAAAAAATAAAATAAAACTTTCACTATTTTCAGGTAAAGAATTATGCATTAAATATAGATATATAGACGGTTAAATTCTATTAAAAACTATCTATGATAAGGATAATTACATATTAGAATATAATATACATATTATATAAGGATAATTTCATAAAAATAGGGGTATTCTTTTTATTTTAAATTTTAATCACAAATACTCCCCTTCATTATAACCATAAAAATGTTACAAAAATAAAATTCTACATACATAAATTACATAACTTAACTACAAGACATTTTTTTTTCAAATAGAATAATTATAATACAAGAGAATCATTGCTACTTGAATAGTTGATTATCCCGTATTATACTTAATATATATTGGGTTTATTATATCTCTTAAGGTCGGTTTACACTTATCATAGCAGTCACGTTCGCAAACTACGAATCGGTGTAATATTGATTCGAGCACTGATGACAGTGTTTGTACTACAAAATGTCTGTCCTAATCTCTTTTATCAGTAGCCAAAATTGAACTAGAATTGGCAAATGTTGTTTAGCTCAAGAGTATAAAAAATAATTATTTTTAATCGTAAAATGAAAAGAAAAACATAGGTGCAATATTGGGTTGCCAGGCAAAATATTTTAGAGCATTATCAAATATATTGTTGACGGAGTTCAAATGGAAGGTCGATCAGGATTTATGAACTATATGAGGATGATTGAAGGTACTCTTACATGCAAATACATGTACGAGCAAGACATGTGTATATGGGATGTGTTTATATTATCAAAGTAAAATCCGTGCTATTAATTCGTCGGTCTCGGACATGGCTACTTCGTAGGCATATACAAGTGTAAAACGACCTGAAACCGGCCTTTATAGATTGTAGAGTTAATTATATAATAACATTATGTTTTTATGTATATATATATGTTTAACCTTTAACACAACTTAACAATGGAATTAACGTTTTTGATCAAAATCACATATATGATGTTTAACATCTAATATGTAAATCATTTATTAACAACTAATTTGAAAATAAACGTTGCATTTTAAGAATTTAATTAATATTGAACAATGAATTACTGTGTGGTACTGTATAGTAGATAACTATGTCGTCTAACTAGACGTTTAACTGCATAACTTAATAGATAATACAATACAGTTTATTCCAAATATACACTGACTTTGTGGCTTAAAATTACCACGTGTATGTTCTTGTCGTTACAGTATTTTGTTTATCTAATTAAAACACATTAAATAAAACATAATAACGAGTTGGTAAATGCGTATTGTTATAAAATGTAATCGATTATACATGGTATTTATACGACGTATTAACATATAAATTATAGGCATATTTGGTGTATACACATTTAAAATACACATGTCTTTGCAAATGAACTATTTTCCTGCGTAAATAGTATAATATTTGATACAATTATGAATGGTAATTTTCAATAATTAAATAATGTTATAAATTTGCAATTCAAGTGTGGTTAAACTTCGAAACATTTCTGTTATTTTCCCTGAATTTGCTATTAACTTTCAAATACTTTTTATTATTAGAGTTATGTTCAAAAAGAAACATATTAATTTTAATATTATAAATATATATATATAATTTCATGTTAATTTTTCCTGAATCGATAATCATCTTTTTTTTTTTTTTAATAAATTTTAAGATAATTTAGTTTTATTACCACAAATAAATCTTAACATAATATATATTTATGACCTGAATCTTCATTTATATTATTTTTTTTTAAATTAAATATATAATAATAAGTTGTTCAAAAAAATCAAAAATTATATGTTTCTACTACATTTTAATTAGTTATATTACATAATATAGTTAACAATAAATTATGGACAACAAGTGAAAAAAATATTTACTCTTATAAAACATTCGTGACGAAGATTACTAATGAACATTGTTTTCTATCATACTCTTACTTTTATATTATTCAACATTCGTTGATTTTTTTTGTTATTTTTAAAAAAAAAAAAATGTTAAATCAATTACCATTCACATGGTATAGAAAAACCACGTTTATTGTTATACTGATATACCATACATGTATATGTTTCTTTCTTTTTTTATCCATGTTTCATTTAAAAACATGAGACCTAAATTAATATACGTTTAAAGTACATCGTACGTTCCACCTAATATTTATTTATTTTTCCTTATTATAAATTATGCATAGCTGTGTATTCGTTTTGAATTATATTAATGTACATATTTTATTTATACATATTTTCAACTATTATGTTTAAAATCAATTTATACAGGCAATTATTTATTATTTTATTTGCATTATAATTTTAAATTAAACAATTTAGAATTAATCATTTGTTCCTCAAATAATATTTTGTAAGACAATTTATTATTTGTTCAGCATTTTAATTCAAACTACCTTT